GAGAATGGCTTGAACCCAGGAGGCGGAGGTTGCAGTGAGCCGAGATTGTGCCACTGCACTCCAGCCTGGTGACAGAGCAAGATTCTGTCTCAAAAAAAAAAAAAAGGATCACAGTAGGAGACCATTACTTTCAAAGGGAGGAGTCAGAAAATAGGAGTAGTTATTTATATAGACAAATTCTGTTATGTCAGGCTTCTAAAAGAAACAATTCAGTTTGGAGAAAGATTTGGGTTTCAATGAGAAAGAGAATGTATGAAAACTCTACCGTCTATTCAATATGTTTTATATATAGATTTTTATGGGATTTCCAATAAACTGAAAAGATAATTTTAGAAAATCCTTCATTTCCTCCACAGCACAGTTAACATTAATATTTAGACTGAGTTTACGAGTGTTTTCCCAGCATTGATTTCATAGTTCCTTGTCAGTTCTGGATGTAAAGGATAAGCTTTGATCTGAGGTGTGGCTGACTCAGAATGAGGGCAGATTGTGCCACAGAGATGGATTTACCATATCTCTGTTGGGATGTTCTTTATAGTTACAACCCGACCTGCCAAATTATTAGTAAGTAGATAGTCACAACTCCAATCCCATAACTCTACCACAAAAATAGAATTCTAGCTTCTTGTAATATGAATGTTATCTAGATAAGACGATATCTAGGTCTTTCCTGACAAGTTATGTGATTTAGTGCTTTGTTTCTATGAACTAAAGTTAGAAACTCGGTGTGACTCACTTTTCTTTTTTGTATGCATCTAAGTGTACAAGGAAATCAGACTGCTTCTGGTGTTGCTTTCTTTAAAAGAAAAAAAAAAAAAAGACATGCTCGTTGCTGAGTATCCTTTTTAGGTCAGCAATTCTTAAGTGCAGAACTTATTGGTATCCCAGCGGAAAGGCCTGAAGCTCTGATTTATCACGACTCCCTGAGTGGAGTTCTTCCATGGCTGGAGAAAGGAAAACATTTGTTGTACTAATACTGAATGTGCTTCCTGTGTAAAATAACCTTTAACTCTGTGGAGATCCCCCATTTTAATGACCAGGGACATAGTGGAAGGAGAAGGAAATCCAAATTCCCCACAGGCAGCCTCTCTCCTCAACAGCAGGACAAGCTGCAGTCCTCCTCACGACAGAAATGCCTTCTGAGGTCATGCTCCGCTAGGCTCTCTTTCACCTGTTTGAAGACATGACTACATGAATTGTTTTCAAATGGGTGTAATATTTGGTCCCATGAAGAATGTTAGGTGACAGCAGTCAGGTCTTGTGAGGGGGCTGTACCGGGGCAAGAGGGGCATTCTCTCACTCGAGCTTCAGTAATGGGCATTGCCGGGAACCTGGCCAATGGCAGAACCAGCCCTCAAACCTCAAGCCAGACTTCAGGTTTCCAAATCACCGTATCTTTTTTTCTTTTTGAGATGGAGTTTCATTCTTGTTGCCCAGGCTGGAGTGCGATGGCGCAACCTCGGCTCACCAAAACCTTTGCCTCCCGGGTTCAAGCAATTCTCCTGCCTCAACCTCCCGCGTAGTAGCTGGGATTACAGGCATGCACCATCACACCTGACTAATTTTCTATCTTTTAGTAGAGATGGGTTTCTCCATGTTGTTCAGGCTGGTCTCAAACTTCCAACCTCAGGTGATCCGCCTGCTTCAGCCTCCCAAAGTGCTGGGATTACAGGCCAGAGCCACCACGCCCGGCCCAAATCACCATATCGTTACTGTAGAAACACTGTTAAACCTGCAGTGGTTGCCCTGGCCATGAGGACTCCTCTTCCTTTGCAAAACTTGAAGGGTATTCCCTACACCAGAGGGGAAAACCCAGCAGTGGTCAAATGATTAACAAACCTTTCAAGTCTCTTTAGATTTTTGTGTTTTGAGACAGGGCCTTGCTCTGTTGTCCAGGCTGTAATGCAGTGGTGGAATGATAGCTCACGGCAACCTCAGCCTCCTGGGCTCAAGCAATCCTCTCACCTCAGCCTCCCAAGCAGCTGGGACTACAGGCATGCATCACTATGCTCAGCTAATTCTTTGATTTTTTTTGTAGAGATGAGATCTCGCTATGTTGCCCAGGCTGGTCTCAAACTCCTGACTCAAGCAATCCTCCCACTTCAGCCTCCAAAAGTGTTGGAATTAACTGTAGACTAAACTTTTCATCAGGCTAGATAACAAGCAAAATCTTTTTGTTTTTTACAAGAGACACATGTAAAACAAGTAAATTCATGGAAGAGTTGAAAGTAAAAAGAGGGAAAAACATTTGATAAATATTAACAAAAAGAAAGTTTGTGTGGTTACATTATCAGATGAAGAAAAAATAAAGCAAAAAGTATTACTAGAGACAGAGGTGCATTCACATATCGATGAAGGTCCAATTCATTCATAAGATGTAAACAATTCTAAATTTGCATATTTCTAATATCAAAGCTTCAAAAATATTAAGCAAAAAATGACAGAACAAGAAAACAAAATTGATAAATACACTATTATGAGGTAGATTTTATCACATCTTTGTCAGAAATTGACAAGACAAAAATATCAGAAAAAAATATGGGTGATATGACCATTCCAATAAACAAGCCAGGTCTAATGAACATATATAGAGTCCTGTACCACATAATGGGAGCTGTGCCTTCTGTTCCCAGGAGCAATGATAAAAATTGACCGTGTATTAGCTCACAGAGCAAGTATTAAAAATATCAAAGAATCACTATCATCTAGACTGCATTATCTGACCTTTGCAATTAAGAACAAAAACATAATAAAAAACTTAGACTTTTAAAACTATAAATCTAGGCCAGGCGCAGTGACTCACACCTGTAATCCCAACACTTTGGAAGGCCGAAGTGGTGGCGGGGGGAATCATTTGAGGTCAGGAGTCTGAGAGGAGCCTGTGGTGAAACCCCTATCTCTACTAAAAATAAAAAAGTTAGCCAGGTGTGGAGGTGCACACCTGTAATCCCAGTACTCCGGAGGCTGAGGCACCAGAATCCTTTGAGCCTGGGAGGCAGAGGTTGTAGTAAGCAGAGATTGTGCCACTGCTCTCCAGCTTGGATGATAGAGTGAAACTCCATCTAAAAACAAACAAACACACAAAAGTTACAATTCTAAATAGTTCCTGGCTCAAAAACATAAAGCATAAGGGAAATAAAAAAATACTTAGAACCAACAATAGTGATTCTATAGGACAAGTTGTGAGATATAGTCAAAGTGGTAGATGGAGAAGTGAATATTTACAACACTTGGATTTAAATAAAAGGTAAAATTACAGAAAGAACAAAAACCTAAATAGAATACAATAAAGGACATAAAAATTTTAAGAGTGGAAATTAATTAAACAAAACACAACATTTGGTAGAAAGGATCAACAAAATAAAAAGTTGGTTCCTTGAAAAAAAATTAAAACTGACAGATCTTTGGCAAAACTGATGAAGCAAGCAGGCAGCTACAGTTTCAAGAATGGAAAATGAAACACTGTAAATGCAACAGCAATTACAAAAATATTATGAACAATTAATAAATTTTAAAATTTAAGGAAAATGGACAAATTCCTGGAAACATACAATTTACAAAACTAACTTAAAAAGAAAATTAAAAGCTGAAATTGAAAATGAGGGCTGATATTAAGCCTGTATGCAACTATATATGCATGCTGTTTGCTTAGGACCAGGATCTCTTGTAACCATTCAATGTGTGAAATTTTTCCCACAAAGAAAACAGGGGCCAGGCAAGGTGGCTCATGCCACCTCCCAGCACTTTGGGAGGCCGAGGCAGGCGGCTTACCTGAGGCCAGGAGTTTGAGATCAGCCTGGCCAACGTGCTGAAACCCCGTATCTACTAAAAATACAAAAATTAGCCAGGCATGGTGGCAGGCACCTGTAATCCCAGCGACTCAAGAGGCTGAGGCAGGAGAATCCTTTGAACCTGAGAGGCGGAGGTTGCAGTGAGCCAGGATCACACCATTGCACTCCAGCCCGGACAAGAGCGAGACTCCATCTCAAAAACAAACAAACAAAACAACAACAACAAACAAAACACCAGGTCTGGGTCCCCGTAGTTTTATAGGCAAGTTTACCACCATCCAAACAGCAGGTAATCCCAACCCTAAACTCCTTCAGAGAGTATGAAAGAAGGAGTATCTCCTAACTCATTGTATCAGACTAATATAACTGCATACAAAGCCACAGAAAAAAATTACAGTCTAACTCCACTCTTGATCATGGATAAAAATGTTAAACAAAATATTAGCAACCATATCCAGATAATGATCAATAGGGTCTACTCCAGTAACGTAAGGTTACTTCACCATTAGACAATTTATTAACGTTAATTTACCACATAAACAGATTAAAATAGAAAAATTATAGGGTCATTTCAAAAGAGGCAGAAAAAACATTCAAGAAATTTTAACAAGCCACTTATAATAAAAAAAAAAACCACTCTTCTCCAAAAAGGTTAGAAAAGAACATCCTTAGCCTACCTAATAAAGGGTATCTGCAAAAAAATCTCTGGCAAATGTCATGCTCCACAGTAAAAAAAAAAAAAAAAAAAAAAAAAAAAGTTAAAAGCATTCCCTTTAAAAACAAGAAATAAGACAAGGAGATAAACTAGCATCACTCCTAATAACTTTGTGCTGGAGTTCTAGCCATTGCAGAATATCAAAAACAATGAGAACAACAACAAAACACAAAGAAAGGAGACTTAGAAAGGAAAAAATAAAATTGTCATAGTTTATAAATTCAATAATTGTCTACATGTCAAATTATAAGAAATTAAACAATTTTCCAAGATTGCTAGATATAAAATCAACAGGCAAAAGTAAATTGCATTTCTATCAATACAAAACCTAATTTTAAGGGAATGCAGTAACACAAAATTTAAATATCTAGAAATAAATCCGACAAAAATATTTTTCAAACTTAATGAAGAACACTATAAAAATTTACTGAAATACATGCAAAAACACTTAATGGAGAAACATGTCATACAAACAGAAAAGTTCCATCTTAAAGATGTCAGTTTTCCCCAAACTCAATAAATTCAAGAAAAATTCAAACAACCTTTTAAACTAATTTTTACGATAAAATACTTTTTTATTCCCTTTGACCTATTTCTACATAAGCCAAGATACTTCTAAAGAACAATGTAGAGTCTTGTCCCAAATGAGATCTGTCTTATCCCAGATATCAATAGGTATCATAAGCTATAAGAATTAAAACAATACACAATGTGCAGAGAGATAGACAAATCAACCAATGGAACACAAAAGAGAGCCCCAAAGAGATATTTGGCAAAGCTGGCATTGCAGACGAGTGGAGAAAATGAGAGTTCCCGATATAAACAGAGCTTGAATAATCCATATAGAGAAAAATGAAAAAGAACTGGATCCCTTCCCTCCCCAATATGTGCGTACATTTACACGGGTGTGTGCACACAATTAGTTCTATTACAGACATAAATGTGAAAGGTAAACCTCTGAAAGTTGCTGAAGAAAAATCCTGATAAATTTGATTATATTTAACTTTAAAATATTTATCAAAAACCTACCACTGACCTACATAAACAAAATGGATACATTAATAGACAAATGAGCAGAAGATATGATTTCACAGGAGAATATATAATGGCCAAGAATATGAAAATATACTAAATTTTAATGGTAATTATGAAAAACTCCAATGAGATGCAATTTTATACCTGACAGATTGATAAAAATGTAAAAGTTAAATAAGATCATGTATTGGCAAGGAGGATGTGGAGTAATGGAAACTGTTAGTTGAAGTGTAAATTGCTTCAATCAGGTTGGCTAACATTTTCATTTTATCTATCAACTGCGTATATATTCTACAATGAAGCATTCCATTTCTACTAGAGAAACTTGCACTACAAGATATGTACAAAAATATTTCTATTATCACTGTTTATATTAGCAAACCCTGGAAACGATCCAAGCAATCAGTGGAATGGATTTTTAAAAAGATGGTGTATTTATACAAGGGAATATTACACAACAGGAAAAATAAATGAACTGAAAAACATTTTGAGTAAAATAAGTCACAGACAAATATACCTTTTTGTTTTTATAAAGCTTAAAGACAGGCAGAACTAAATGAGATACATTGTTACAAAGAAATTGAGAATTATAAACAGTAAATACATACTAATCTCTTTTCATATATCAGGGCCAGATGTTTCAATGCTATTTCATTTATTTATTTTTTAAATATTATTTTTTAGAGATAGGGTCCTGCTATGTTGCCGAGTCTGGTCTTGAACTTTTGGACTCAAGCTGTCCTTCTGCCACAGGTTCCCAAATAGCCGGGATTACAGACCAAGCCACTGCACCTGGCTCAATGTTTTTAAAATCAAATCATTCCAGACAATAGAAAAACACAGGAAGCTCCACATTTAATTGTAGAAAGCCAGGAAAATATTAATCTGAATATCTGATTTAAAAAAAATAGTACAACAAAGGAAAATATAGAATGACTTCACAAGACTATAACTGCAAAAATTCTGGATACAATTTTAAGAAACAATATTTCAGAATAAAAAAATTACATTATAACCAAGTAGGATTATTCTGGGAGAATACAGGGATGGTTTCAATATTAAGAAACCTGTCAACATAATTCATCATGCCAGCAAATTGGTGGGGGAAAAAGTGATTATATAAATAGATGATTAAAAGGTATTTGAAAAAATTGAGCAGTCATCCCAATTTAAAACTCTCTATAATATCTGACTAGAAGATGTTTTAGTCAGCAGAAGCTAACTCGTCTTAAATAGAGCCCCAAAACTCATTGGCTTGACACAGTAAGTTATTTTTCCTCATGTCATAATCCAGTTTGGGACAACAATGGAACTTTCCTACCCACAGACATTCAAATACTCATAATTAAAAAAAAAAAAAACTACTCTTATCCAAAAAGGTTAGAAAAGAACATCCTTAGCCTACCTAATAAAGGGTATCTGCAAAAAAATCTCTGGCAAATGTAATGCTCCACAGTAAAAAATGGCTCTTTTTGTAATGGCTCTTTCCGTCAGTAGCTTTTCCATCTTCTAGAAAGATATCCTAGAAGATGCCCCAGGTCCACTGCATAGGACTGATAGAGAAAGGAAGGAAGGGTGGAGAATAATGTGGGAGGCCCAGGGTTAGGACTGGAAGTGGGATCTCTCTTTTCCACCTACATTTTTCTGATCAACATTCAGTTAGGTTGGGTCTACACAACCATAAGCTGCAATGGAAAAAGTAGTTGATCTGTGTTCTGAGGAGGAAAGGAAAATGTATGGGTGAGCATCTAGCCAGTCTCTGCCACAGAAAATTACCACCTAAAATATTAAGACCTTACCAAAAAACTAGTAACAGATGTTATCCCAAAGAGTCAAACACTAAATATACTTCCACTGAAATCAGGAAAAAGACTGGGATATTCACCATCAGCATTATTTACTCAATATTATTTTGGAGGTTGTAGCAGGTACAGTAAGATAAGGAAAGAAAATAATATAAATTTAGGAAAGAAGAGATTAAATTATCTTTTTGCTGATAATATGCTGACATACTTAGAAGCTCTAAGATATGCTTTTAAAAAGAACATCTGTTTAATTGAGTAACATGGCTAGACACAAGATAAATACAATACACAAAGACACATAAATATGTGAATTTACATACATGTGTGCACATTGTTTCCATATGGTAGAAGTTCTCTTCATTTGCTTCTAAAATAACGCTCCGGGTTTATACAAACTCTCATGTCATCTGTGAAACCTACAGACTATTGCTTACGGCAGAAAAAAATGCACTCACCTTGTGAGCTACTCTCTTACATAACCATGTACTCCACTTTTACCAGATGAGTTGTTTGCTTACCAATTTCTAGTTGTGCTTGCTCCTAAACATTTTTATGACAGTTGTACTGTTATTATAACTAAGCAACTTGAACAAATATTACTGAAGCCAATAAATAATAATGTGATAGGAATGAATCTTTGTTTCCATGGAAGCTAAGTTGTCTGCTTTAGAAAGATTCGATAGACAGTTTACAAAAAAAGCTGTTGGTTTGGGTATAACAATTATAAAGCATGAGGAGAAAATTATAAGATTTTTTATTTGCACTTTTCTACAAGTCTTAAGTTCTTGAACCATATTAGAGAAATCTGAACTGAAAACTGCATATGAAGCATTATTGATGTAGTTGTGCAAGAAAAATATCAAGACCCATACTTAAGTGAAGGACCTCGTCCTACAGAGCATTATGGATAAATGAATATATATATATACACACACACACACATACATGTTTCATGTTAAAATATATTTTTTTTTTGAGACAGAGTTTCACTCTTGTTACCCAGGCTGGAGTGCAATGGCGCGATCTCGGCTCACCGCAACCTCCGCCTCCTGGGTTCAGGCAATTCTCCTGCCTCAGCCTCCTGAGTAGCTGGGACTACAGGCATGCGCCACCATGCCCAGCTAATTTATAGTATTTTTGGTAGAGACAGGGTTTCACCATGTTGACCAGAATGGTCTCGATCTCTTGATCTCGTGATCCACCCGCCTCAGCCTCCCAAAGTGCTGGGATTACAGGCGTGAGCCCCGCACCCAGCCTATGTTAAAATATTTTAAATGTCATATTACTGTAGTATAACCTAGCCTATCCTGATTAAAGCAAGGCTATGTTACAGTAATAAAAAAGTAAAACCCAAAAAAACCCTTAAGTCTCAGTGACTTAAAACCACAGACTCTATCTGGATGACATTCAGAGCCACTGTCTTCTATATGATGACATTCCAGCTACTTTACCCTCTTGGTACTTCTACATCAGCATATATGTCTATTATCACTATGCCAGGGAAGATATGGAGAATCATGCTCCAACTCCTCAATGCTTCTGTGCAGGAATGAAACACACATCACTTCTAATCACATTTTCATTGGCCAGGATTAGTCACATGGCTATATCTAATTTTTTTTTTGAGACAGTCTTGCTCTATCCCCTAGGCTGGAGTGCAGTGGTGCGATATTGGCTCACTGCAACCTACGCCTCCAGGGTTTAAGCGATTCTAATGCTTCAGCCTCCCTAGTAGCTGGGATTACAGGCACCTGCTACCATGCCCAGCTATTTTTTTTTTTTTAATATTTTAGTAGAGACAAGATTTTGTCATGTTGGCCAGTCTGGTCTCGAACTCCTAACCTCAGGTGATACACCTGCCTCAGCCTCCCAAAGTGCTGGGATTACAAGTGTGAGCCATCACACCAGGCTGGCTGTATCTAATTTTAAGAGACAAGAAAAAGCATTATCTTCTTGCATACTTAAAAGTAGAAAGGAACCACATATTGTCTAATGGAGATAAATGTCTATTGCATAGGTATCATTTTCTAGGATTTCTCAATCTTGCAAACTTAACAACAAAATATTGTGATACATTGTATTAATGATCAAGATATTTGCTGCCCTTCAAGTTGAAAGAGTACTGATCCTATCTCACTGGTAGGATCAGGTGTCAGCCTGGGCATTAGAAGGGCCCCTCCTTGTGGGGAATATGTGCATCCCGGATGCTTCCGTGTCAGATATGGGCACTTCTTGCTTTGGTTTATAAAGCCTGAGGGGAAGTGATGTGTGACATTTCCTCACAGGAGCTTTAAGAACCAGTAGATGCTATACTTTGACTCCTTTTCTCTCTACTACAAGACTGGAATGTGCCTGATAGCAATGGCTTCATTAGCCTGGGCCCCAGTGAGGGTGATGTGAAGCTGCGCTGCAGCCAGCTTGGGCGGGGCATGTGGTAGGAGCAGGACATTTTTTGTTGTTATAAGCCACTGAGATTTTCAGGTTGTTTGTTATTGCAGCGTAATTTAGACAAAGCTGACTGATATACATACCATCCTTACTGCATCTGTAAGAATAATTATAACAATAACCATAAAGGAGTGAGAATGGAAAAACAGTCACATGCTGCATGATGACGTTTCAGTTAATGATGGACTGCACATACGATGATGACCCCATAGATTATAATGCAACACTTTATTTTTACTCTTCCTTTTCCATGTTTAGATATATGCAGATAAGCAAACACCGCTGTATCACAGTGGCCTACAGGATTCCATACAGTTACATGCTATGCAGGTTTGTAACCTAGGAGCAATAGGCTAGACCATACAACCTAGGTGTTAGTTAGTGGGCTCCCTCACCTAGGTTTATGTAAGGACACGATGACATTTTTCACAATGACAAAATCACCTAATGCTGCATTTCTTGGAACGTATCCCCATCAGTAAGCAATGTATGATTGTATTCTTCCTGTAAGTGCAATAAAAGTACAGACTGCTTAAGGCTAAATTGGACAAGATAGGTTTGAGACATACGGAGAAAATTACAAAATATTACCGAAAGGTATAAAGCATGTCAATTCTCCAAAAATTAATGTATAAATTTCATATAATTCTAACCATAACTCCACTGGTTTCTTTTTACTTTGATAAAGGCATTTTAAAGTTCATGTGGAACAGAATTTACCCACAGTGCTGCTGCCAGGATTAAATGAGGTAAAGTATGTAAAGCACCTAAGACAGTATTTGACACCTGTAGTATATGCACTGATACATGTTAGCTAGTGTTACTTAGAAAAATAAATAGATCTGTAATCCCAGCACTTTGGGAGGCTGAGGCGGGTGGATCACAAGGTCAAGAGATCAAGACCATCCTGGTCAACATGGTGAAACCCCATCTCTACTAAAAATACAAAAATTAGCTGGGCACGGTGGCGCTGCCTGTAATCCCAGCTACTCAGGAGGCTGAGGGAGGAGAATTGCCTGAACCCAGGAGGTGGAGGTGGTAGTGAGCCGAGATCGTGCCATTGCACTCCAGCCTGAGTAACAACAGCGAGACTCCGTCTCAAAAAAAAAGAATAAAAATAAATAAATAAATAGATCTTTAAAATGGGGAGTACCAAAATGTATCTTAGTATACATGGGATTTTAAAATAGCCATCTAGAGGAAAATAAAATTAGATGCCTACTTAATCCATATCCAAAGTTAAATTTCATATGGATTAAAAATGAAACTGTAAAAAATCAATAAATATTTTAGAACAAAATTTAAGAGAATGAATTTATACGCTACAGGAAGGAAAACATTCTCAACCTAAATAGCAAACCAGGGAGTTGCAAAGGAAAAGATAGTGTTTTAAATATGTGTATGTTAAAGATACCATAAAGAAAAGAATAATGTTATTATATAGTAGACTTCAAGAAATATCCAGTATTTGTAAAAAAAGGTTAATATCTATAGTATAAAATGAGTGACCAAAAGTTCTCAGGAAAAAGAAAAAAAATTCCATAGAAAAATGAATAAAGAATGTGTGAATAGGCATTTTCAGAAAAGCAAATCTAAACAGTAAACATGAAAAAGTACATGATCTTAATAATAATCAGAAAGATGCAAACTGAAGTACCCTGAGTTATCACTTCTCACCCAGCAGATCCACAAAAGTAAAATTTCTGTTGACAGAAGTGTGAATTTAAACCACTTGGAATACATTTACCATTTGGGGAAGACGTTTGAAAACAACCCTTTAATAAATATAGTGGTCAAGGAGGAACTTACTTGGGATTGCAAACCACCAAATATAACTGCACTGTTTTGAAAGTTCAGCTTTTCATGCAATGGATTCTGACTCAGGCTGCTCACTCTGTCTCCTACAGTGTATGTTCCTCTTGGCTCCAAACTCAGAATTTTGCAAATATTTTTGGTCACTGGACAGCATTTTTTTACTTCATGACCACTCTAACCCTTGACCACATGGAAGCTCCTAATGACACTGCCTGGCACACCCTACCCATGCAAGTTCTGGCACCCCTGGTTGAACTGTGGCTAACTAGGTCTTTTTGGATTTGTGACTTGTATGCCTGTCTGCACCTGGTTCTGAATCTTTACCTAGTTTCTCAGCCCCTACTTTCTCCACTTACTCCTACTCCTTCCCCACTCCCTGTCCTTGGGAATCTCTCAGCACATGGATACCTACTGCAGCAAATAAACTAGCCCCACTGTTAGTTGTGTCCTGGAGCTAATTTCACCCAGTTCCCACCACCACACTTTTCAAACAGGGAAGCATAGTTTGCCGAGCCCACTTAATCTGGAGATGGGGAGAATCACTTCAAAAACAGGTAAGAGTGGAGGCAGGCGGGCTGCTAGCTGAAAGGCAATTATTAAGATGTTGTTAATGAAAGATGATAGCTCCAGAAAGATGGTGAATGGAGTTTATAGTCTAACGAGGAGAAGCTCATGTGAAAACAAGAGGTACAACAGTGTGTTGATGAGATACAATTACTCATATGTATGCATAAGCAATGAGGCATAGAGCCTATTTTCCCCAGGTGGGGAAAGCAGGGCAGTGGAGAAGGTCAGGAAAGGTTTTGCAGAGGAAATGATGCTTGACCTGACATGGTTTGATAGTGCATTCCAAAAAGAGGGAGGAGCAGGAAGAAATGTATAGGGGCGTGAAATCAACATTAACAGGGAATTCCAAGTACTTTAATATGTCTGGAGTAAAAAATTTCAGAGTAGGGCTGGCAGATCATAGAAAGCCTGTTTTGCATTCTGAAGAGTCATAAATTAATTCTGTAGGGCAGGCAAAGAGGACTATTGAAAGGCTTTAAGGAGGAAAGCAATCGATTTGAATTTTAGAAGACAAACAACTTTGGCAGCGTGTGGAGGATGGTTTGGAACAGGCAAGGACCTCTGCTTGTGGCTCAGGTGTCAGGTAATTAATTCTGTTATCCATGATACTCTACTTCTCAACCAGGCAAGTTCATCAAGGAATTTTAGAAACCACACCTTTCTTTCTTGCTCATGTAAAAACACCAAACTAGAATGATAAACAAACAAGGTCTTTTTTTTTTCTAAACTCTATTGTATAAACTTAGTTGGACACTCTCTTTTAATAAATGGAGTGAGGCTGAATAGCTTTTGGCATTCATCCCAGATACTGAAACAGTGAGAAGACAACAAAACATGGAACATAATATCTATCCATAACTGCAATTGTGGGGTTGGGGTTATTGGAGAATTGTAAGAGTTATGATTTCCCTGGCAAAGTATCAAAAAAACATACCTTCACAAATTATTCCAAACAGAGATCTGGCATCTGATCATGCTGACATAATGAAAAATGTTGAACAAATTGCCTACGTGTAATTTCTCATTCCTGAAGAACTAAAGGAAGGATGTTTTCTAAGGCTGCACAATGATGGTTTTTATGAAATAATAACACGGTCATAAGAAAGCCAAAAGAAATTTTCCCAGCTCACTTAGAAAATGCAATCAATCTATTTTTTCCCTAAAGATAAATGATATATTCTGTCACATAGAAGAATGTCTAAGAGGATATCCACCAACACATTCACATTGGTTATCTCTGGGTGATGCGTTCAAGCGTTCTCTTTTTTCTTCTCTGGGTGATGCATTCAAGTGTTCTCTTTCTTCTTCTTTCTGCCTTTTGGTGTTGTCTTTCTACGGTGAACATGCATTGCTTCTGGAAGGAAAAACAAAAAAGTCAAATATATCAACCATACAATCAGAATGTGGAGGGTCATCTTTTTCAGCTCTCTGATTCGGCATCAACTTTCTAAGTCTGACCAAGATTAATGTAAACTGCTTTTGAGGTAACCTTCTAGTGTGTTTTGAGTATAAGCTAAATTCCTCTCCTCAAGTATTTATCTTCAGGGAGTAAATCATTGAATTTTCAAAATATGAATATTTCCACTCTTAATTATTTATGCCAGTGGAGGGGAATACTGACACTAGTATCCAAAACATCAGAGAATTGAAACCATCATGTATACGTATATATTATATTAGGCTTTGTGAGGCTTTGCACATGATACTTTTGGCAGATATGCTTTCTGAATTACATTTTTATTTGGCGAATATTAAAATTACTCCATGCTCTCACATGTGGGCTGGCAAATGATGGGAGGAGGCTATGGTAAGAGAAATGGGTGTAGAATTTAAAATTCATTGCATATAATCTATGAGCTGTGTGCTGGGCAGGCAAATGTATAAAGACTATAGTGAAAATACAAACCAATTTTAAGCACAGACAGACCTAAAATAGGGCTACAAAATCCTGAAAAACGGAATGTAACTTGTGCCATGTCTGATAATGCCGATGTAAAGTAGTAAAATAAAACTCCTGGATTCTAAATAGTCTACTCTAGTACTTATTCTCAAAACCCAGCTTATCATAATCAGAAGACACTCTTTTAAAAGGAGCTGTATCTGAAATCATAGCCAGCAAAATACTTCAGAAGAAATATGAAACACTCATCCCTTAGGGTTAAAGAAGAGGGTCTGTCAGATGAACCTGGCATCTCTCCATCTAACACATAGCAAGGGGCTTGCAAATAAGATTTGTAAAAACGACTTACTGTAAACTATGCACATTGAACTTTTCCCAACACTGTAAGAATTTAGATCATTTAAAGAAGATTTGGATATACTATTTATAACTTACGGATTCTTTTCAGGCCCTCAAAAACCTAGTAACTTTCTTATTGGTTAAGATTTGTATAATACCATTCACTGCACATGAACTACTCCTCCACCCCAGCCTTGTAGGGAAGCATAATTTTTTTTTTTGAGACTGCTCTGTTGAAGCAGTCTGTTGCTCTATTGCCCAGGCTGGAGTGCAGTGGCATGATCTTGGGCCACTGCAACCTCTGCCACCCAGGTTCAAGTGATTCTCCTGCCCCAGCCTCCCTAGAAGCTGAGATTACAGGCATGCACCACCATGCCTGGCTAATTTTATATTTTTAGTAGAGACGGGGTTTCATCATGTTGGCCAAGCTGGTCTCAAACTCCTGACCTCAGGTGATCTGCCCGTCTCGGCCTCCCAAAGTGCTGGGATTACAGGCATGAGCCACTGTGCCCAGCCTGGGAAGAATAATTTCTGAACTTACACAACCACACAACATTCCGATCATCAGCTATCTTGGAGAGAGTAAGTTTTCCACACTTTTTACACCAATTATTTTTCCCTCCCATCTCTTTCTGACAATGGAGTTCTCAGGCTTCTCCTATCCTAAACTTCATCACCACCACGAGTCCCCGGTGCCAGTTCTTCTTCAAATCCTGATTCTGCTTTCAAAGGTCAAAAGAACCGATTCAGCTGAGAAGAACCGTCCTGAGACTGGGAGGATAAAAGACCCAAGCAAGCCTGGACAGAACTGGGAACTCGCAATAGGAGGTAAAGGCTGGGCACATTCATGCCTTAACACTTTTCATGTGATCACACACACATATGTGGTTCTTGGTATTAGTGGATGCTGGAATTGTGGTGGAATGCCAATTGTTGAATCTAGCCTTGGAGGAAAGGAGATAGGTACAGCTGGAACTAGGCAAGGAGTCAGGGCCTGGGCTTACATTGCTGAGCTTTAGGGTCAGGCTCCAGGCCTCGGATGCTTCAGGAAACAATTCCAAATACATTCTCTTGGGTCATCAATTTCCTAACCAAGTTAGTCATTCTTGCCTACGAGGCCCAGCTGTTCATCCCTTCATTCCCATACTCTTTGTTCAATAAACATTTATTGTTTTCTATTATTTCCATACAATAATGTTAAGACATAACCCCTGACTTCAGGAGTTTATGGGAGAGAAGAAACAGACATGCAAATAGTGCAACCAAGGGTTAAAGGTTATGGTGAAGTAGGTATAAGCTTCTTAAGCTTCATCTGACATCTGACATCTCCACTTCATGAACTCCCCTGCTCCTGTTACCACCCAGTCCCTGAACGCACGACACTCACTTCTGTCTTCCTCTTCACTAACCCCTCCCACTATGCCCCTTGGAACTTCTCAGTATTTTTTTCCTTTGCCACAGTTATCTGTCCACTTCTTAGCCTGCACTGAAACCTAGCTTTCCTATAAATAACACTTTTCTTAAAAGCTTGTCCAGGAATGCCTACTTTTCTTGTCACTCTCCGTGGCTCACTGGGCAAGGACAGTGTCAACAAAGCCTCCGGCTGCCCACTGCCCCGCTCAACCGTCTATATCACCACTCACTACATCTTCTCCGAAGCGGATGCCAACTGCTTTCCACTACCCTTTCTCAACTTTTGCAAGCATGAGGATTCAACCCAACCCATGGGAACTTTGCAACTCAGCATGCTTTAACATTTCTTCCAACCAACCTCAGCTCTTGCCCGGTAGCAGTCATTCACCTGCTTCTCACCTGTTTCACGGAAGGGAGTTTCTGTGTTCAAAAACATGTATTCAACAAATATTTGTGCCAGGGAGTAGGCATTCAATGGTAGACAAATCACAGTCCCCACCCTCAAGGAGCTTGAAGTCCAGAGAAATAAGCAAGTAAAAGGGCTGTCGATAGAAAGAGATGTTAGAAGACTAGAAAGCAGGTGCTGAGGTTAAGGGGCATCATTGTTCTCTTTTCTTCTCCCTTCCTCTGCTTTTCTGACCCCTTGTACCATACAGTCACCTGGAATCCCTGCCCTGCTTACTCTTCACAATGTCTGCTTTGTGATCCCTCCTTGCCTGGCCTAGTGCCACACAGAATTACTGCATAAAACTGAAACTGTGTTGACCTAGCCTGTTACAAATCGAAGTTACTCATCCTCCCTTATATCCTCATGGTTCTAAGCAGTTCTTTCCAATTCTTCTCGCTTATCTGCTAATGTATTCTCCATGGTGATCTGTCAACTTTCCGTTCTTATAAAGATACTACCAGTCCCTCTCTCCCCATCACTATTAAGAGTGGTGATCGGAATTCAGTTCCTTTCCACAACACTCCTCCTCCACAGTTCAGGACTTTTCTTCCCCATGTTTTCCATCTTGTCTCATTTCTTTGTGTGTGTGTGTGTGTGTATATATATATATATTTTTTTTTTTTTTTTTTTTTTTTTTTTTTTTTGAGACGGAGTCTTGCTGTGTCGCCCAGGCTGGAATACAGTGGCATGATTTTGGCTAACTGCAACCTCCACCTCCCAGGTTCAAGCGATTCTCCTCACCCGCCCAAAGTAGCTGGGATTACAGGCATGTGCCACCATGCCCGGCTACTTTTTTGTATGTTTTAGTAGAGATGGGGTTTCACCATGTTGGTCAGCCTGGTCTTAAACTCCTGACCTCAGGTGATCTGCCTGCTTCAGCCTCCCAAAGTGCTGGCATTACAGGTGTGAGCCTCTGCGCCCGGCCTGTCTCCAGTTTTTAACAGCTGCATCTCTGCCCTTGATTCCCCCTCACACCTGTTCTGGGCATCTGAGAGGTCATTATCTCAATCATTCCTGCTTGCTGTTTCTCTTCCCTGCTGTCTTCACTCTTGCCCCTTCACCAACTCTTTCTAATATCTGCCTAACCAACTTTGGTCTGTTCAATCATGCATGTGAAACAAAAACAAAACCCAACTTTCATTCAAACCAAAATCCTATTTCTATTTATTGAAATGGACAACTTTCTGAAAAGAATGACCTATAAAATTGAGCTACCTCCATTTTCCTACTATAAATTCCTCATTCCTAACAATCCGGTTTATAGTTCAATTGCTCACCAGAAGATTTTTTGCCAAACCACACTGGTCTTCCCATAATCACATCTGACATCACTGGTCTTTCCCTATCTCAACATCGTATCTTCCCTAGCTCTGAGACATTTTCAGACCTCTCTTCTCTATGCCTCTTCATGCCTCTTCTAGCTTCTCCAAATTTCTAGAGACACTCACCACTACACATTAGATCTTAAAACCCTTCTGAGTACCTGCCTAAAATATGCAAGGCACTATGCTGTGGAGACAAGGCAGCTTTTAAAGAGGGGTCTCACCAAGCAGTCTGGGTAACAGGGTTTGGGTGCTCAGGGCCAAGTTTAGGCAAATAACAGAAAATAGCAAAGGGTAAGTATAATTTCAGATCGTCAGAGAGCACTAAAATTTAAGTCAGAAGACCCAGATTCAAGATGACAAGATGAAGCACTGGAATAGCACCCAAACAGAAGACAGCCAAGGTAACAAATGGGGAAAGAGCTAGAAGGAGGGAGGAGGGTTTCTGCCAGATGTGAATGAAGCTGAACTTGTCCTCGGTTGACCTATCCAGGTCACCAGACTGACTTAAGAGTAAAGTCAAAGAAGACTACAAAAAGTTAAATAAAATAGGATGCTTGTTCTCATATATGCCTAGTGTTTTCTGTGAAATGTGCATAATAATGGTATCTGCCTCACAAGATTAATTCAAACAATATATGCAAAGAACTAAACCCTGGGCCTGACATGTAACAAATGTTAGCTATCATTATGAATATTCTATCCTCTAAGCTATTAACATAAGGCTTAAGCAAATAGAATTAAATAATTCCAGTATCAAATCTAATTTACTTCTTAAGTATTTAGCATACTCAAATGTACCCTGTATTAGTTAATACTGTAACAAACTATTTAAAATAGGATATAAACTTGGGTGTAAGACTCAAAATAACGGCATTTTCTCCACGCTGGTCCACTAAAACAACTTACTTCACACTGATCATCAAAAGCCTATTTGCAGGGCTTTCTGATCCCTTTTTAGCTACTTTTGAACTACCTTCTAACCTCTCAATACTTTCTTGCCCTTTTGATTCTAGGATGGCACAGCCTTTAAAGCAGGCTCCCAGTCTACGGACTGTCTTTTGAATTCCAGTATTTCTTAGGTCCATCCCTATGTTTTCCTTCCTTTCAAAGCCTTTCCAATATGTGACATTATTTTTGCATACCATTAGTGGCTTAAATGGTATTCCAGTTCCTACTTTCTCCTAATCTCAGTCCATCCTTCATGCTGCCACTAGAATTTTTTTTTTAATGCCAAATGTTTGTGTAACAACCTCCATTATCTCCTATTGTCTATAAGAAAAAGCGTATCATACACGGCCCTTCATTTTGGCCCCAACCTGTCCCTCCAACTTCATCTCATTTTGTTCTACCTGCTCACCCAGAGCTCCACCACAGGGAAATCTTCTCCATTACTCAAGATAACAACATGACTTTTTCACAAATCGCTTGTCTTTCCACATTCCTCTTCCTTGAATGTTGTTTTCTCTTGATCCCAGCTATTTTCTGGTTCAGCTCCTTTCTCTATCAAGCATTTATCACACGGCATTAATTTTTTTATTTTACTTTATTATTATTGAGACAGAGTCTTGCTGTGTCACCTGTGCAGTGGCACGATCTCTGCTCACTGCAGCCTCTACCTCTCAGGTTCAAGTGATTCTCCCGCCTCAGTCTCCTGAGTAGGTGGGACTACAGGCATGCACCACAACGTCTAGCTAACTAAATTTTTTTTTGTATCTTTAGTAGAGATGGGGTTTTGCCATGTTGGCCAGGCTGGTCTTGAACTCCCGACCTCAGATGATCTGTCTGCCTTGGGCTCCCAAAGTGCAGGGATTACAGGCATGAGCCACTGTAGCTGGCCCACACTGCATTTTAAGTATCTGTTTACATGTCTATTCCCCCAGGAAAACATAGGCATCTCAGGTACAGGTAAATGCCCTTTTCTCATCTTCCTAGCTTCAGAATCTAGTACCAAGCAAATGCTCAATACATATTCAGTGAACTGTGAGCAATCAGCAAATGTTAAAATGATTAAAAAAAAAAAAAGATTAGCAGCTTTACAATTTCTCATTAGTTGGAATTGACTGAAAGAAAAAAGATGCAAATGAAACACTCCAACTCAAATCTCAGGATTAAACATGGCTATTTTGAAGGACCAGAAGACAACTAAAGGACAGCAGGGCAGAAAACTTACCATCTGGAACTTCGAAGCTGTATGACCATGGCAGTGGATATATGGCCTTACCGTTTCCCTCTCTCAAATCCTTGGACGGCTTTTTATAGACAAAGCCTCATCCTTAATCTTGCCTACAAAGGCTGCATAAAAAAACCTGTAGCTAGGTTCCATGATACATGCCTGTAGTTCCAACTACTCTGGAGGCTGCAGCAGAATTGCTTGGGCAACATAGCTAATCCCATCATTATTTAAAACAAACAAAAACGACAGCAAAAACCACTTGCCTCCATCTACTTACAACCTCATCTCACAGTACTCTGCACTTTCTGAACTTAGGCTGACTTAGATATTCTTTCCAATTCCGTTTTTGCACAAGCAGATCTGCCCATCATGTTATTAAATACCTTACTAGCCCAAACTAGTTTGCTCTTATCCTTTGGCTATCAGACCGAAGATTCCTTAAGATGTCTCCATCCTGTGGTAGCAGACCATAAAGCCGTTTTACTACATTATATTTGGACAACAATACAGTATAGTGTTATGACCATAGATTCTAGACTCAGGCTGGGTCCTTAGGCATATTGAACCCCTTCATGTCTTGGTTTCTTCACCTGTGAATTGTATTCGTAAGGTTATTGAAAAGATTAAAGGAGATAAAGCATGTAAGCACTTAGAACTGTGCTGATACGCAGTTCAAAGAGCCCAGCATACGTCGGTCATGATCATATTTACTCAATTCGTAGTCACTATCCTTCGTTCCCTCCCCCTCCAGCCCCCGGAGTACCCCTGCTCCTCTAGCCCAGAGGCCATGCCAGCCTGGTCCTTTTTTGTATTCCTAGCCTAAGCACAGAGTTGTGAACATAGCAGGCCTTCGATATTATGTTTTTTAAAAAACGACAAAAGCCTTGTGTCCCACTTTTACTTTATTAGCCGAACGATCTCAAGCAAATCACTCAAATCCCCTAGGCCTCGTTTATCCTTCTGTGAGATATAATAGCTACCTCCGAGAGGTTTTGTGTTAAATAAAGCGATGTACCAAAAGAAGCACGTTGCACATCTTAAAATGCCGTACAAACTGTAGATGTTTATTAATAAACCGGAGTCCGTGTCTTCCCTCCCCTCAGGCACGTCTTGTCCCGACCCCGCTCTCCCCGCAGCCCACACCCTTACTGCGCCCTTGGCCCGCGGTCCCTCGGGATTGCAAGCGTGGGAGCTTCGACCTGGGGCAGCTCCCTCCGGCGTCCCGCGCCCTCCTTCCTTCCTCGCCCGGACGGACGCACTTCCGGCGGATGTGGGGGGGCAGTCCCTGGAAACGGAAGTGAGCGGCGGGGTCGACTGACGGTAACGGGGCACAGAGGCTTTTAGCAGAGCTGCTGAAGATGGTGAGTGAGTACTCGGGCGGCCAGAGTTCCACGCGGGCTCGGGATCGTGGCTCGGCAGAAACAAGCAGTCGCCTCCCAGCCCGTCCCCGGGTGGCGGCGGCAACCTGGGGATGAGGCCGGCCTCGGGAGCCATAATCTGTCGAGTCACGGGGTTTGGGTGGGTCGTGGCTGTCGCCGGGTCCCGGCTCCGGCACTGGTCCCACGAGCAGCGGTTCGGCTTCGTCCTGCTCCTCTTAGCTCGGTTTGCTCCCTTCCACCCCTTATCCCCTAGCAGGCCCAGACCTCCTCCCCTTACTTGGTGCAGACGTGGAAACTACAAACCCGAAAGTGCAGCGTCCTCTAGGGTGGCGCCGCCGACCCTTTCCTTGAAGGGTAACCTCTGGGAGCCCAGAGTGCTCAGACTCCTCATCTCCCCCAGTCCCCGCCCTTGTAACTGTCTGGTAACCACCCCACAACTATAGGTCGCATTTGTGTAACGCAGCTTTGCTCTACAAACGTTTTTGAGAGCTTGTTGTGTGCTAGGTGTTAGAAGGCGATAAAGTCAGACGGTTGCTATTCCCCGTTTGTCAGTATTGTTAGTACATCTCCTCCCTCCGTCTATCTTCACTCCCTCTCTTCTTCCCGCCCTCTCCTCTCTACCACTTTCTCTTTCTCTTTCTTTTTAACTTAAAAGTTGTGATATTTGAGAAGAATCCTGAGTCACCATTGCCACAGACTCTGGTACAGATACTGTTGGTAGGCCATCCATCCAAATCTAGAAAGCTTCTGTTGGTAAATACTGCTAATCATTGTTAAAAAAACGTTTTATGGACACTCCCAAATGTAACTAGTAGTTAGGTTTTTGTAGATTTGCCTTTCTCGGCTGCTTTCTTTATTAGAAACATTAAGTTCTAATCCTGATATTTTACAGAAGGAAATTGGAAAAAATAATGATAACAGAATCTCGAAGTCAGAATTCACTTTTTCCTTGTGCATTGAAACCTTCTGTCACTTTACGATAAAACAGCCCAGAAGTAGGAGAAGGTTGGTATAGGGAAGTAATAGAAGCCACGTTTGGAAAGAACAATCACACAGCTCTACCAAAGGTCCCCAACCTGTGGTGATTCAACAGTTTTCTGACTTTATGATGGTGTGAAATCCATACATAGTCAGTAGATGCCACACTTGAGTACCCACACAGCGATTCTGTTTCTCACTTTCAGTGCAGTATTCAATAAATGACAAGGAATTCAATATTTTTTAATAAAGTAGGCTTTGTGTTAGATGATTTTGCCCAACTGTAGGCTAGTGTAAGTGTTCTGAGCACGTTTAAGGTAGGCTAGACTAAGACCTGATGTTTAGTAGGTTCGGTGTGTTAAATATATTTTTGACTTTTGACATTTTCAATTAAATATGGTTCATTGGGAAGTAACCCCATCATAAGTCAAGGCGCATTTGTAGTCCTGGGGTTCAGCTCCTTGGTGCAGATGAGTAAACAAGGCCAGAGAGGTTGGTGCTTTGCTGGCAGTCACAAAGTAGGTTAGTGACAGTCTACGCTAAAGTCCAGATTCTTTTCCTCGTCCACCATGACGACTTGTATGTAGGGGAGTTGGAACCTGTTATGCAGGTTCTTTAGGTCCAGGCTAAGGACTCTGAACTTTAGGCTTCAGACATTGATGAACCAACAAAGATTTTATAGCAGTTTTGTTGGAGGAGTTTCGTGCTTGAGGAAATCCTTGATATGCAGAACTGGAAAATGGGTGAGTCTAAGGCAGCAAGATCCAGTAGAATGCTGTGGAAGTTATCCATGCCTAAGAGGCTGGGCTAGAATGGTATAGTGAAGAAACCCTGGAAAGGATAAAATATCTGACCAAATCAAATATATAAACGAATTAAGAAACCAGTGAAAAAGCTGACTTCTCAAAATATTTTCTCCTACAATAATACAACATTTGATAGCAAACTGCCTGTAGCTGTTTTACATTTTTTCTGCAGAATCACAGGGGTATTGGACTTGAGCAACAAGTGATTTAAAGTTAGCATCTTGGGGTGACTCACACCTATAATTCCAGCACTTTGGGGGCACTGAGGCAGGAGGATCACTTGAGCACAGGAGTTTGAGACCAGCCTGGCCAGTGTAATTGAGACCTTATCTCCACAAAAAAATGTAAAAAATTAGCCAGGTGTGGTGTTGCACGCCTGTAGTCCCAGCCACTAGAGAGGCTGAGGTGGGAGGATTGCTTGAGCCCAGGAGGTTTAAGCTACAGTTAGCCCTGATTGCTCCACTGCATTCTAGCCAGGATGACAGAGCAAGACCCCACCTGAAGAAGTAAATAAATAAATAAATAAAGTTAGCATCTCGTTCTTTACTTGTTGAAGCACAATGTTTTATTTGCTTGATATATTTTCATAAGATGAAGCTCTGGGAGGTATACATGTATATTCAGTATCTAGCAGAGTACCTGACACATAATAGATGGCTAATAAATATCTGGTGATTGCGCATTTCACAGTATAAATGTGTAGGGTAATAATACACCAATACCAAAGGCACTGTCTTTTTTGTTTTGGCATATACTATCCTGATTAAATACACATAGTTTTTATGGGTAGTTCCATCTTTATTTAGAAACCAAACACTTTCTGAAATTCCCTTTTCTTCCCAGCTTCTGTGACTACTTTTATTTAGCCATCCTGTCTATTCTTAATCCCATTTCTTTGTTGTTCTTCCTTGTCCTCAAGGAATGGTATTCCTGAGGATTCTGTCCTCAACTTTTTTATTCGGTGTTAAACATTCTAACCTAAAGGAGAAGTTTTTCCAGTAAAAACAAATTCAATCATGCCATAACCTTTCAGAGGCTGTCAGTTTTGGAATAAAACCCAAATATCTTTGCATGTAAGACGTTTCGCTTTTGTATTTCTCCAGCCTTTACTTCTGCCTCACTGAAAACATGTATTTAGCCAGTCATCTCAAACTACCTGAAGCTTGTTCATTTATCTTTTCATGCCTTTTTCATGTGATTTTTTCCTGGAATGCCTTTCAAGCTGACAGCATTCAGATATCAGCTCAAGAATCCTTCCCACTCTCAAATTTGGTATTTTCATTTTACCATATATGTCTCTATTATATCATAATGTTTAAGGCTTGCAGTAATTGTCTTGTCTGTGGACTCTTTGAGGGGATATTATTTTCCTATCTCCTACTTAAACAATATTTTTGATATAGCTGTTTGGCATGTGTGTTTAAATTTTTTTTCTATTTATAATGTTTTTTATTTGTGTTGTAGAATGCCAGAGGACTTGGATCTGAGCTAAAGGACAGTATTCCAGTTACAGAACTTTCAGCAAGTGGACCTTTTGAAAGTCATGATCTTCTTCGGAAGGGGTATATGGGGGAATTACGACTTTGATTTTGTTATAATGTTTCTGTGAATTACCTTTCACAATATTCTTTACGTATTTTGATAGGCTATAAATGTATATTTAGTTTGGCAGATGGCAGGTAATATATGTTGCATGGGGTGCAGAGGGGAAGGGGCTTAAATGTTTTCTGTAGTAGAAGAGGTGTCTCATCAGAGTAGTGCATTCCCAACGTAGGGCATCCTCCTAGGCAGTGGTGTCCATTAGCATGATTTGGTAGGATTCTTCTTATTTATTTATTTGCTATTGATAACTTAGCCGTTTGCCTCCTTGTCTTAACTGTTAAAGTAATTTGCTTTTCTTTGGGAGCACTCGAATATAGCAGTTGAGAGATTAAACTCTGGACTCAGTCGACCTGGGTTTGGACCCTGGCTCTGGCATTTACTAGATGTGTGCCTTTGGACAAATCACATAATTAATGTCTCAGTGTCTTTATCTATAAAATATGGCCAATAATAGTCTCTATCTTACTTCAAGGAATAAATGAGTTAATACCTGAAAAATGTTTTAACTAGTACCTGACATTAGAAGCACTCAATAAGTATTGGCTGCAGTTTTTTTTTCTGTTCTAACTTTAGCACGCAGTTATGCCATGTTGACGATTTCTTTTATGTTTCTATATGTTTAGGTTTCAGTTTCTGGTCCTAGACCATTCTCTTTGCAGGTTACTTTTCTGCTTAGTAAAATAAAGATAATACCTTTCCCCTATAAACAAATTATTGTTTTGAATGTTTGAATTTTACATCTAATTTTAAAGTATTTATTCTTACTATAATAGAATGGAATTTTAATGCTGGTGTCTGAGTATAAATATAATCCCTCATTATAGACTTTCAATTTTGTGGTTAAAAAAAAAATGCAGCATTTGGCCTGTGGAATTGGAGCTATAATTTGATTTGTATAACCAAATTAATTGGCTAGGCAGTAACTAAGGTCTGAAGATGTTTTTTTCCCCTCACATGAAATGTTCCTCCTTCTTCCTGATTGGACTGGGGCAGGACTATTTTCAAAACCCACTTCTTGAATAATGTTTTGTAAAAAGACAATATTTAATAAACAATTATTGCAGGGTTTCTAAGGGTTTTTTTTAGCTTTAAAATCCTAGTTTAGATAATAAAATCATCATCTTTATACAGCTAGAGTGATAAAGACCTAGCTGTATTAGTTGGTTCTAGTTGTGCCTTACCTAATGTACTTCATACATATTAAGTGTTCAATAAATGCTAAACCTATTGTTCAACGTGTTTATTAAAGATATATTAAATATTGAATGTGTTAGACCTGAAGGGAATAGGCTTAGATATTTTATGTAGTGCAAGAAGTACCTCGTCAGAATAATAGCAATAAACATACATTCATTCAGTTTCTTCTAGAAAAGATTTTGGCAAGTTTTCCCTAGTGATTGAAGTCTTGACCACCTGCGTCTGTAATAGATACATTCTTAAGTTATCATATAGCACTCTTTTTTTTTTCCTTTTTGTGTATGGGTCCATGAATTTTTAACACATATATCAATTCCTCTAACCGTCACC